ACTAACCACCGGACTTCCTAGTTCCTAATTCGTACTACTCCGTGAACTTCTTGCCTTACTATTAACCTTAGCACATGTTTATACCGATCATAACCCGTTTGGGTGCAGTATAAACAAATAATTTATTGAGCCAACCTCCTCGTGGTGTCTTTTGGGTAATGCTGCTAATAGGCTCAGATTTAGTATTATAATATGTTTGTTTATGCAAAGAAAAAAATCCACCCAAACGTACTATTATGAGAGGATATATTACGCCCAAACGTTTTATAGATTTACGATCTAAAGCGTTCTGTTTTGGGTATACATTGGTATAAATTCGCCAAACGTATTTCCCCCGTTTATGCCAACCATTGTCTCAATATCCTTTTTTTTTTTTACTGTTACAGTGGACTGTTTACACAAATCACTTAGGTATCAAAAGTGTATATCCGGAGATCTGACTATCTGAGTGCTGTAAATGCTCCTGCACACGACCCGGCGAACGTACAGCGAACGATTGATGCACAACGAACAGTTTATCGCCGCGACGAAGATATAACACGCCATCATGGTACACACGGGGTCTTGTAGCGACCGAATACACAACAAATTGGCCAGCTACTTACCGATACTGACATGGATGCCAAAGTACAAGAAGGTGGACTTGCTGTACGATGCCGTGTCGGGCATCACTGTCGCGCTTACGTTGATGCCTCAGTCTATAGCTTACGCGTCGCTAGCAGGATTGGACCCACTCGTAAGTCCACTGAWCGGATGTGCGTACATACAAGATAGTTCACCATCCATGCTCATCTCTTTTKTTTCAAYTATCAAAAACACGATTTTTAAAATGTTTAAACGTGCATCGAGACCATATTTTCGTTAAGAAGTAGATACGTTTTGTGCACCACCCAAGCAAGACTATTATCCTTATTTTAAGTTGACATAAAGTTTGGTACTTTAACTTTTAGAAATCGGAAACTTCTAATTTGAATTTTGATGTATTTAACAAATCATCGGCAGAATATTTTTGTTTTTTAAATGGTTAAACGCTTAAACGTTCTTTGAAAAGGTTACCACATTCGCAATTTTAATTTTTTAATTTATTATGTTTTTCCTTCTAACATGCGAAAGAGTAAATCCGTTTCGTAACCATTATTGCATTGTTGCACACTGCAGTACATAGTTTGATACAAATTTATTGCTGTTCTAGCTTCATTTTAAACCATAACAAAACAATCAAAGTCTAATTATAACAATACCTATGTGATTATGTCAATATTGGATATTTATCTTTGGTAATTACCCATAATCTATACCAGAGGTCACTAATTAATATAAATATATTAAAAATATRGTCTACTTAAAAATTATAAAAWTTATAATTTGAATGATTGTACTATTTAAGATAAAATAGTGGTGAGCATACTTAAAAAATCACCCTATATAATGTCTAATTTTAAATAATATATTTGATAACTACTTGAGAGTATACTTTATAATATGTTTAAATATTTTCTAATTGCGATGTGTTKATCATTACGAATTGTTTTATTAGTTTGGATTGTATGCTGCATGCTTCGGTAGCTTGATGTACATAATATTTGGATCAGTACGTCAAATTACTATCGGACCTGCATCCGTTGTTGCGTTGCTCACTTTCAACTACGTCAATCCAGCGCTACCAACTACGGCGGTAATTCTCTGTTTTGTGTCTGGAATTGTCGAGCTCATCTGTGGACTTCTCCGCCTAGGTACAGCAAGTTTGTTATTCGATAAAATTTGATCGAACCCCAATTTATTTCCATACCATTTAACGGAGTGTGATTTGTAACAATAATTTAAAAATTTAAAAAAAAAGTATTTAGTAACCTCGAATATGCTTAAATGCAAGCAGTGCAAAGACTGATTAGAAGCTACGTTTCCAACCCAAAACAGAACACCTTAGGGACGTAAATCCATAAAACGTTTGAGCGCATTTATTTCTTTGCGCATATATTAACATAGTACACTAAATCTGAGCCTATTACCCCCTACCCAGAAGACACCGCAAGGAGTTTAGCTCGATAATCTTTCAAAAATATTTGAATATTTAATTTTTTTTTAACTCTTGACTTAATTTTTGTTCATTATTAGTTTCTTATTTATCAATATTTTTTTATACATATTATGAATTTTTTTATTTATTTTATGTGATTTTAAATAATTTTTTCTCCGCAAAACGTGTAGTCCTATTTTTTTT